ATAATACTATGGAACACAGTTCTGAAAGCTTTCGACACTTGCCTTGATGATTAAAAATATCCTAACTATGGTGAAAGGAACTACACTTTCATAACATGAAAGTAATCCCAATCTAATACTCTGGATCGGATACAGAATTTGAAGCTAATGTGAATTCATTTTGAATGTCTAATGTGTGTCTCTAGTTTTCAGGCCTTCCATCAGGCAACATGGAATAAACAGTGCAGAAATATAAATTTAATTTGCCCCTTTGGGGCAGTGACCTAAACTGCTATACAATATCACAAGCTGTTAATGACCCAAAAATAAAGGTCACACTGAGAATTTCAGGGCTATCACCGAAGAGCAAAGTTCTTTTATTTTGAAGCTCTGAAAAATAAAGGTCACTTCACTCTTACTTATAAAAAGATGCCTCATGGATGTCATGGCCATATCTGTTTAGTGAAGATTTTCATCCAGGTCAATACTAAGAAGCTGCTACAGCTGCAGAAAAATAGAAGAACCATCTAGATTCTTATGTCAACTGAGTAGTTGCTCAGTTCTAATTCCATATGGCGACACATCCCCCAACCCATCAGGTTAGGAAGGAACCTTCAGAATTCAGGACCGAAGCAAACATCCACATGTTTGGGTCATACTAAAAACAATCAAAGTTAATAATATTTCACTTGCTTTCAAGTTTACATCTAAGACAATATAGCTTGCATTAATTTATAGCTGGAAATCACAATCTGTATTATTAGATTTCAGAACAGGCAAAAAGATTGACCAGAAATGCCAGTCACGACGTAAAATGCAAGAAAGATATGAGAGATTGAGGATGGGTCTGGGTGGGAAAGAAATATAAAAGAACATAGGGATTATTAAAAGGTAGAAGATCACTGGCACCTTAGCTTATAAATCATAACATAGCAAGGTGGTATGGATTTTTAAAAGTGTTTTAAATAACGTAAAGAGATTCTGCCTCAACAAACAGACTATAGATGGAGGCAGGAATTTCCTCTTATATAATGTCCAACTTTCTGTACAGTAGTTACTCCAGACTAGCATTAAAGATACCTTACTGAAATCTGCAGTTTCTGCTTCCCTGATGTTCAGTGGTGGGATTCAGCTGGTTTGCACCAGTTTGGTAGAATTGGTAGCTAATTTTTTGTTACCCAGGCCCAGAATGGACTTCTGGAAGCGGCATCCACACAGAGACCCGGTTGTTCACATATTTAAATCCCACCACTGCTGATGTTGCCTAGTTGTGTTGGGCTTGATAAAAGGACAGTTTGCTCTGTTTTTGTGCCATGACAATTAATTTGTCTTAAGAGGATTATATACTTGTTTAACTGTATAAAATAGAAATATGAGGATAACGCTTTAATTGCATTTTTAATAGGAAGATGTAATAATGGGTTTGGGGTGTTTTTTTTTTTTTTTACAAAAATGGGCTAGATCTGGGAGTTGCTCAGAATGGTATTTCCTTTTCTACAATGAAAAGATGAAACGAAGGAGATACTATTCCGCTCCAACTGTGAGGAAGCTATAGAGCAGCGGTTGGAACAATTTGCATCTAGGGCACTTTGTTGCAGCCACAGACCAGGCCAGAGCAGTTCTGATCTAGCCTACTAGTTTAAATTTTATGTTGGTACTCAGTGCTCTAATGAGGCAGGCTCCTGCAAAAGAGGGCAGCTATTTAGAGACCTTTCCTCCAGTCACACTAAAGATGTGATGACATGTTATGGAAAGCACAATACCAGAAGGACAAGAGTGCGTCTCCCATAGTCTGTACTTCAATTGCTTCACCTACTTTCCCATGGACATCTCTCTTGAATAGCTGGTGCATATTAACTACAACATCGTTTTGTTATGTTGTCTTGCGTTTTTCCATACATGCTTGCTGACTGTTTTCTTTCTAAAGGGTTTAGATTCTTTTTGATCAAAGCTTTGCAAATAATAAAGGGTGCCAGAATTCAAAGGTTTTCTTTTTTCTTTAGCAACCATTATTTTTAAAAATGGTTGGGAAAAGCAAATAGATAGGCTAAGAAGATTAAACACGTAATGCTGCAAAAGGAAAAGCAGACAGGGGCAAATAACCAGACAGGAGTAGCTTGAGGAGCTGGGCAGAGTAGAGGGAAATTACTGCCATCTGTAGCCATATTCCACCCTCAAGGAGAGTAATTCCAGATGCTGAATAGCAGCAAAGTCTGTGATAACATCCACAATATTCATCCACTTGTCTGTATGTGGCAGCTCAATTACATAATTAAATATAGCTATAGTTATTAAATGCTTCGGGGTTTTCCAAAGCAAACTTCCTACATGAGATTTGCCTTCCTCAAAAGGTTACTATTACCTGTCTTTCAACTAAGACTACCTAAAGGCAGGATATGATACTGGTCTATCAAGAACCATATTGTTACTAATCTGGTTTTTAGACAGCAAGAGTCTTGCTCTTCTTCATACTATGAGATAGGCTGGAAAAGTTCATTAGATAGGCACTTCTCTAATAATATAGAGTAATGAGGTACAGCCTTCCTTATTATACTCTGCTTTGGGAAATATAACCTCCCATTTGTTCTAACTGCCTTTGAAGTTACTGACTGTCTGCATTATTGCTGCTGTTATCCCTAAACTGCTTCATAAATTTTGAAAAACATGATATAAATACAATAAAATCTGCAGTGAGAATTGCATGAATTCCCTGTACAGAATACATCAACACAAAGGTTAACTTAGTCATCCCAGGACGTAGTTGAAGAATGATCAAATGCAAAAATTATGCCAGTGATAATATGTTTAAAATATATTAAATATTAAATGGTAATATTTCACTCTTTTCCTCCCTATCTCTTAGAGGTTCATATGCAATCATTCCTGTTTTATTTTCTGTTTTTTTGGCAAAGGAAGGAATTTCAGGCAAAGAATGAGATACCAAGAAAATCACTTTTCATGGAGTGGTAGCCGTAGACCAGAGGACAGAGATGAAAATTCACAGTGACTGATGTCTCCAGACGGAAACATTCCCTCACAGCCTATCTATCTTGTAGGCACTTCTGTCAATACCCCAATTGCCCTGATCCCTTGTGTGCCAGCCATGCCCCCATACTTTTACACAAGCCCTCTGCTTTATCTACACCTTCTGCTGGATACTTAATTATAGGCACCTTGTGTATTGAGTGCCAGGCAGAAATCTATTCATCAAGTGCCTCCTGCTGCCAGGCCAAGTTATGAGCAGGAAGTGGAAGATCTATGGATTTAATTAAACCTGGCACTATCCATCCTTGTTTACAAGACAGCTGTTCATAATTCAGTTTAGGAAGCATCATCTGATGGACATTTGCTGGGATGGGGGGGGGAGGGCTTTTCATGCTAGCCTCTTTTCTTTTTGCCCAGGGACCAAAGAAGCTCCTAGAAGCTTCTGATGCTCCTAGAAGCTTCTGATGCTCCTAGAATTTTATTCATATTTACTGCTCCCCAAGAGATATTACACACACACACTTTTACTTTTATGCAAAGCACCAACATTTCACATTGTTTTACAGTGCCTTTCTTTTTTATTTGTGAAAGACAGTAACTAAATGCCTTTCACAGCTCAAATGCTTGATCCATCTGATATTATTTTATGGAGCGTACTCCCAACTTCATAAGCATGCTGCCAGATTCATAGACAAGAGACCAGCAGTGAGTCTAGGCATTTGAGTTGACACAGCCTAATATGAATTAGACTCAGCTAAAGAGTCTCAGACACATGACATAGTATGGTTAGATATTAGTCCCCACTGCATATTAGAAAGAAGTTATTAAAACAGTAGATTGTCCTCAATCAACATGAAGGTGCAGTTCCTTATCATACCCACTGTGGTTTAATTTCAGCACTTTTCTCCTACCTTCCTGCAGTTTGACAAATATGTGCCTTGGGCTTCTCAGCTTCTGACCTCAGAAGTCCTCAATTTAATCCCCACACTTTCTAGAATTAATTCGTAGAAGGGATTTTCAGAGATGTACGGTAGTTTTAGAAGGCTGAATGGAAAAAAGACTATAGGGCAAGTTGATACCGTAGCTCAGCAGAGAAGGGAAGCCAACATTCTACAGCAGGGGTGTCAAACTGCCAGCCCGCGGGTTGGTTGCATCATACGGAGGCCGCACCCACCCCAGCTCCAGCAATGCAAAAAAAGTTGCGATATATCGTGACACGTCACGTGACATGGCGAGTTTGACACCCATGTTCTACAGTATTAATAAAAGAACTGGTAAAGTTTTGAGAAAAATGACTATGAAGGAAAAAGTTCAGGAAAAATGTATTCAATTAATTTATCTGGAAGATTTCTATTCCACCTTAAGGCCTCCCTTGCAATTTAAATATTCTAAAAAGAGCAATATTATGAAATAGTAATAAAAACACAGCCGTTACACAATTAAAATGATAAAAGATCAGAGGAAAATAAACTAACAAAATCAAGCAATAATAAAAACAGCAAACAACAAAATTAATCAAATTGACTAGCAGTTTCAGAAAGTAACAAAACATAATGTAATTTGAAAAACAAACACAATATTTAATCAACAAAGCTTGAGCACAGAGGGCAGACTTTACATGATGCATAAAAATAATAAATCCAATAAACTTGAAAGATGATCCTTAGACTGCTAAACAAAGTTCAAAGTTTTTATGCCTTCTTTTCTATTGTCTGATGGAAGATAGAGGCAAAACTGTCCCTTTGCCTAAGAAAAGGGATTCATTTTTCTCTGGGATTTCTTCTACCTTGTGCTGATCAACCTTTCTGAACACTAATTATTCTGAAAAGATTATCCTCTCACCTATCACAATGATGCTATATGCTACAAAATTGGCATACAGGTGTTCAATGCAAGAAAAAAATCAGAATACAAGGTCTTTTAGGCAGATGACCCCTCACTTTTTTGCATACTGTCCTCATTAACCATAACCACTGCAATCCTATTTATTACTATGCAGTGGGAATTGGGTTTCTAGGGCTTCATAGAATCTTTACCTGTATAGAGTGAGATGTAAGGGGAATCAATGACTTCAAACTTGAAGCTGGGAAGGAAAATTCGCCACTGAAAGAAACAGGAGAAGTCCTTCAATTTGCATGTATTTATATTCATAGGTAATAAAGTGTATTGCTGCAACCACAGATATCACATAGGTATAATACATAAAATACAATGCCAACAGGATCAGATTTGAATAAAAGTGATTAAATGAGAATAAAATTGGTTAGATGTGAATATAATGCTAGCAAATGTAGATATCTATCCAAACTTAAAACATTAATGTCATTAAGAGTCACCAGTTCTAATACTGTAGCTTTCCTCGGGACCCAGGACTGGTTTATATTTCTTTCAAACCAACAACAAAATAAGAGTGACTACTTAATAACTAATGTAAGGGAACACACAAACAAAAATGTACACATTCCACTTCAGAACCCATGAAGGTTTCCATCATCTAACCCCCATGGTACCATATTATGAAAGGGGCAGCAGATAATATAATGGCTGCCATTTTTCATTGAAAACAAGTGCAAATCCTATTTCACAGGAGCTTTATGGAATTTTCCTTCAAGATGCATTGAGGGTATAATTTGAAAATAAAAGGTCTTCCTTAATAAAAGACTGATAAGTTTGAGTAAGTACTGTGACTAGAATCTATTTTGTTTAAATTGAGAAGACCAAACTTGAGCATTGGCATCTATCTACAGCAGGGGTGTCAAACTCAATTTCATTGAGGGCCGCATCAGCATTGAGGTTGCCCTCGGGGGGGGCAGGTGGGTGTGGCCAGGGTGGGTGCAGCCTACTGGGTGGGCGTGGATGGAGTGGGTGTGGCCTACTGGGTGGACATGGCCAGCTCTACATCATTTGCGTCAAGGGTGTCTGTGGGGGCCTGAGCAGGAGTGGGACAGATTTGAGGGTCTCTGGCAGAAGGGGGTGGGACCGGGGCAAGCGCCAAGGCATGGTCCATTTCTTCATTCCTCACAAAGGGTGACACCTCCCCAGCATGCACCCAGGGGACGGGGCCGACACAGCAGGGGCTGGTTCCTCGCTGTTTCTAGATGGCCTTGTGGAGCTAAGACTGAATGGGTTTCAGCATAGATGGCCACCACAAAATTGTACATTGGCTCCCGGCCAGCCTGGGCCAGGGCCAAGGCAGCGAGGGCTATTCCCTCACTGTTTCCAGGATGGCTTCGTGGGCCATATGAAACCACGTTGCAGGCCGCATCCGGCCCCCGGGCCTTGTGTTTGACATGTCTGATCTACAGGTATATCTCCTCTATATCCTGCTCTGGAGCCAAACATGGATCTTCTTCTTACCCCCAAATTTAAGGGTTTTTTTAAAGAGAGAAATGATCCAGGCATTGTAAGAAAAGACAACACTATTCTCTTGGGTGATGTCTCAATGCTTTTTGACTTGCAGTCAAATCCTTTATCCTTCTGTGGAATGTGTTATTATTTCCTTTCAAAGAATGTAAGCTAAGTGTTTCTATAAATGTACTAAAAAGAAAATGCTTCACACATCTTCTGTCTATCATATGAACTTGTCTTCTGTATTTCAAAATGCAAATATTACATACAGTATTCTAAATAGCAATGTGAATATTAATATTGGGAAGGGGACAGGACAGCCACTTACAATTTTATAGTTTCAATATCATTTGTTCACTTTTTTAAACAAAGCAAATGAAAAACAATCACAAAAATGCTCTGGATATGGAAAATGGTTTCAGAATAGCACTGCCTTTAGGGCAAAGAGATTTCATTTTAACAAAATTTCATCTCCCTCTAGTGAATACCTTAAAATAATATATGTCCAAGAATCTTCTAAATAGAGTTCAGGTGTGAGAAATAAAACCTGGATTATTCAAAGAACTCGTATTTAGGGTCTACTGATAATATTCCTAGAGCTGGGCTTAGAGTTATTGTCCTGTTTGTGATGCTTCCATTAGAAATGTCTGAACACAAAGCAGTTCCAGTCACTTTGAGTTCCCCCTAAAAAAAATCTACTTCCCTTTCCTGCTCTTATAAGTTCAATATTTCATGTTGCTATGTTTAATCCTGGGAGGGTACCTTGGGAATAACTGACAAGCATTTGGACACAAGCATTAAGGTGTTTGGGTTTATCTGCTTGCTTTATATACTTGCTTTTATATAGGGCATATGCTGTTCATTCATCATATTTAACATTGACCGAGGCAAGTCACCTCACAATAGTTTTACAGGCCCAGGTGCTTTTCAGTCCTTGGAGCAATCAAAGGATGGTATATCACGGGTGTCAAACTCGCTGCGTCACGTGACATGTTGCGACGTATTGTGACTTTTTTTGCATTTCCGGAGCTGGGATAGGGGCGGCTTCTGCATGACGCAACCGGCCTGTGGGCCAGCAGTTTGACACCCCTGGTTATGATGTTAAACCAAAGATAATCCCATGGAGCATCTCCCCCATTGCCTGTTCTCTGGGTGTTACACCTGCCAGGACGATCCAAAATCCTTTGAGAAAGACTTCACAGTAGGTACAGACAATCCTTGGGAGGGAAGAGCATTTACTGAGTGGCTAGTTTTCTTTTTAATTTAGAAATGTAATGGAGCCTCTTTTAAAAAGACTAATATTTTACCTTCGGCAGCCTGCAGTGCAGTGAAGCCTTATACAAAAGGAATACAGTTCAACAAAGAGGCAAGAAAATGAGCTTGTTTTTTGAGACATTTTATCTTGCGAATAAAAGTGTTTAAGAAATTAGCACCTAGGAACTCTTTCTCACTCTCTCCATTTTCCCCAGTGGAGTCTATAATTAATTTGAAGGGAAAAAACCCGTTCCCAATCTCCATTACAAGCATGAGAAGATGGGACTTATCTCTTTCTCCCTTATCCTTTGTTTAACTATATAGACCCAATTAAGGGAGTTAAGAAAAAAAATAGTTCCTTATGCTTGTCTTATCTGATAAACATTGATCTGATAAACATGGGCAGGTTGTTTTTTCAACTTGTACCTCCGATAGCCTGCATTAATGAAAGTCCAATTAATATTCTGCCAGAAATGCTTTTGGGGCTAGGGCAGTTTAGTAGGATATAAATATGTATTCAATGACAGTATTTTGAGTCAATAACCAAAAAGCTGGCAGCCAGAATTATTGCTATTTTTTTAAAGCTAGTTTTCTTAATGGATTATTGTACCTGACGGGGAAAATAATCCATAGGGATTTACTTACACCCACTTCCACATGGTCTGATCCACGGTCGTCCTGCTTATGGAGGAGCTCAAAGTAGTAGCGCCTGGAGGAAAGGACACTAGGTGGGAAGAGAAGAAAAGGAAAAGAGGTTATAACCCCAGCTTTACAGGACCTGAAGGAATTCTCTTTGGTAGCAACGTACTAGAGACCAGAGGGGTGGGGGAAGAAACTGATGAAATAAGCTGCCATTGACTCTGTTTCACATAGACTGTCCAACAATAGGCCTTGTGTGTCCCCAGGAATAGAGAAAGGCAGCAGAATAGGAGTCCTATTGGCTGTACACTTTGGTCTCTCTTTACATAGAGGTACTGAACACACAGTATCATCCCAGGAATAATGAATAATATCACAGCTCAAAGGGTCATCCCCCTTTTCTTAAATGTCAAGTACATCCATGTTTTCTACTTTCAGAGAAAAATGCTACAATTCATCAGTTTGCATAAGCTGTCGTAACTATTCATATTTTAATGGGTTTAGGAACAGTGGATGTAACAAAAGATAAAAGGGAGAGGTAGTAATGTAAAGATTAGGTGTATCAGCTGGGATCTAAATGACAATGGTTTTATCTCAGCCCTAAACTTAGTAAAATGTCCTTTGAAAAACTCTAATTTCCAGCCTCAGTTTTTTTTAATCTTTATAATTTAAGTTATAAAGGCCTATCTTAAAGGTTATTGTAGAAATATTGGGAATGCTTGAAATGGGCTGAATAAATGGTAAAGATTGAATAGCAATAGGATTATTTTTGCTCACATGCCTGCTCTCTTATGTGCAGAAGCATATAACATGTAAAGATTGCTGAGGCATCCAACACTGGAGATGCAGGGCCAAGACAAAGAATGGGGCCTAGACATAAATATTTTGCTTAGTCATTGATCACATATATATTCAACCCTTTGCCTATTTGTGGTCCAATTGTTTGCATGTTGTTAGCCACCCAGTGTCACCTTGCGGCGAGATGGACAGCAAACAAACAATAAAATGCAACCATGATAACTTTGAACATGATTTCTGTTTTTCCTTGTGCAAATAAAATTAGACTTTATTCATTGATTCAGAAGTGACATTTGGACCCAAACCCTCTATGTATTTCCAAATCACATATGCATAACTTTGACCATAGCTTTTAAATTTCAAATAAAGTGTAGTACTGAAGGATCTATGGAAAAACTTCAAGCATTCAGAAAGCTATCTCTGCTATGAAGGAGATGAAGCACTGAAGGAATAAAAAGAAGAATTAGAACAAAGGCAAAGAGGATGCTGTCAGTAATCCCAGCTATAATAGATGACCGCCCCTAGCTGACACAGGGGAGATAGATGAGCTGCAGCTACAGCAGAGATCCTGCCATGGTATCATTGCTGCCTGTCAATTCTGATTGGTCAGAGCAGAAGACTCCTAAAATCCTCCTTGCTGGCTTGGTGCACTGCATGTTGCTGCTGCTGCCATGGAAACCATATCCATCTTCCATCCAGGGAGCCAGAAGTCTGCTTTGAACTAGCTAAGAAACTCAATCAATGCAGTGTGTTATTCATTTTAATAACAACACAAACTCCCCAGAGTTGAATGAAGTTTGATAATTTTGTAAGTTAGGGATTCTTAAGCCCTGGGAAGAAAACAAGAAGATTCTATATGGAAAAACAAGACTCAGTCTCCCAAAATATAAGATGGACAGTTATTAACTTTAGCTGATGCTTGCTAACTCAGTTGTGGCACTATCATGCAGAAATGATGGACATTTTTCTAATAGCAACAATATCGGGCTACCCTGAACTTGCTAAGAACAGGGGCATTACAAATAGTTTACTTCAAAGACCACAGGAAATCATGAGATAACTGGCTTCAAAGAACTCCCCAAATATGCCACAATCAACTTAGAGACGCCATATTTAATCTTTGGTATCTTCATCCCAAATAAGAGGTATCAGATGCTCAGAAAGTACTTGGTTGATAGCTCCCTACATTCTAACTTTACACTTCTTCAGAAACATTCCTCCCCCACCAAAAAAAAAACAAAAAACCAGAAAAAACAAAATGGCCATTTTGCACCATTTCTTTAGTTCAGCAAGTGTTTGTCTGAATTATGTCATTTGAAAGACAAGTTCTTCTGGAAACCTAGGCCAAACAACTTTTGTTGCTCAAGGAAACTAAATAAGAGTACCAAAAAGCTCTCATGTTGAAAATGTTGTGTTCTTTGTATTCCCCCCCCCTTAATCCCCTATGCATATCCTGATCACCCATTAAGGGTGATTGCCTTTCACCATTGATCGCCCATTAAGGGTGATTGCCCTTCACCATTGATCGCCCATTAAGGGTGATTGCCCTTCTCCATCTGCATACAGTTTCATGCCCGTTGCTGGTTGGCTAACTAGCAACAGG